AGTGATGTGAAGAACCTAAGACAAGGGAAGAAGAGTGTGGCAATCTATTATCTGTTAGTAGCTTAACTAAATCCATGAACTGTAGCATAACCTTCTTTCCCACTCGTTGTGTTTTTCAGGACCTGCAACCTCAGAGGATGATTGAGAGTGGCTACGAGATGAATGGAATATACTTGTTGGACACACCTGATAGAGTTCTTGGACCACCTCATGGAGTTGCTTTGGAGTCAGTTTTGTTAGTCTGTTGACAAAGTCATCTTATGTCACTTTCGGTTTGGTCCTTTGTCTTTTTCTGCTTCGAGTCATTTGTTTCCAGATATGTTTAAGGGAGTGTCATCATCAAGTCTTCATTGTGAGTCGTGTGAACTGGCAAAGCATTGTAGACAATCTTATTCAGTAAGCAATAAAAGATCTATTTTTCATTTTCATATTGTTCACTTTGATGTGTGGGGGCCATATCATTTGCCTACTATGGGGGGTTACAGGTACTTTATCCTTTTTATTGATAATTACTCCCGTTACACTTGGATTTATCTCATGAAATCCTGCGATGAAGTACCAACTATTGTGCAAAAATTTCATGAACTCATTCTTACCTAGTTTAACACCCGGATCAAAATATTCCATTCTGATAATGCTAAGGAGTATTTTGAGAAAACCCTCAACCTATCATGAAACTTTTGGGGTTATTCATCAAAGTTCTTGTTCCTACACTCCACAACAGAATGGAGTGGCGGAAAGGAAGAACAGGCATGTGGTTGAAGTGTCAGATCCATCCTTTTTGCATCCCATCTTCCTATAAAATTTTGAGGAGATGTTGTCCTTAGTGCTACCTTTTTGATTAACCGTATGCCTTCCCGGGTTCTTGGCTTCAAAACCCCCTTTAGCCTTCTCTTTCCGAATGAGGATCTCTTCTCTCTTCCTCTCTGTATTTTTTGGTGCACCTGCTATGTGCATGTTTACAGCCATCAAAGGCACAAATTTGAACCTAAGGCTCATAAATGTGTTTTTTTGGGATATGCCCCCACGCAGAAGGGATATTGTTGTTTTGATCCAGTTAGTGGCACTCGCATTGTATCTCGAGATGTCACATTTGCTGAGTCTACTCCTTTCTTTAGTATTCCTCCTGAGGGGGAGAAATCTGAGGAACCCTTTGCTATGTCTCCAACAGTTCCTCTTCCTGTTCCTTTTGAGTCATCTGATGAGGTGTCCACTTCTCCCACTGGACATACCTCTAGTATTCTTGCTCCTCCTCCATCTCATCCTCCTGTAATTCCTCTTCATCCTGTTCTCCAAAGGTGGTACCAGAAGCACAGATTCAGACATCGGCAAGTTGTTTCTACTCCTATAGAAGAGCCTCTTGCTCCTCCCATCATTACTGAGGCAATAGGTGAGCCTTCCTTTGACCCATCTACCTCTTTCCCAAACCTTGATCTTCCTATTGCTCTTCGCAAGGGCAAGCGGAAGTGTACGACCCATTGTATCTCCAAACACCTGTCTTATAGCCTTCTATCTCCTACCTACTACTCTTTTCTTGCTTCTATTTCTTCCCATGTGATACTCAGGTCTATACCAGAAGCCCTATCTAAACCTGAATGGAGGAATGCTATGATGGCTGAACTGGATGTTTTGCATAAGAACCATACCTGGGATATTGTTGACTTGTCAGAAGGGAAGGAACCAGTGGATTGTAAATGGGTATTTGCCATTAAATATCATTTTGATGGCTCTATTGAGAGGTTTAAGGCCAGGCTAATTGCTAAAGGCTACACTCAGATGTATGGTATTGACTATCTTGAGACCTTTGCTCCTAAGGCTAAGATGAACTCAGTCCGGGTTTTGTTGTCCCTAGTAGCTACTTTTGAATGGCCTCTCCACCAGTTTGATGTTAAAAATGCCTTCTTGAATGGAGATCTACATGAAGAGGTCTATATATCTTTGCCTCTGAGAGTGTATGGAAAGGAAATGCAAGGGAAGGTGTGTAAACTGCAGAAATCCATTTAGTCTCAAACAGTCTCCTCGGGTTTGGTTTGAGAGATTCAGGGCTACTCTTGTCTCATTTGGTTACACACAAACTCAATCTGACCATACCTTGTTCTTGAAAAGAAGTGGCTCTTTGGTGACCTTTTTGATAGTTTATGTTGATGATATTGTGGTCACGGGTAATGACACCCAAGAGGTCAGTAAACTCAAAAGGTTTCTTAACTCTGAATTTGAGATCAAGGATTTGGGAGATCTTCGATATTTTTTGGGCATTGAAGTTGCCAGATCTAAGGATGGTATCTTCATTTCTCAGCGCAAATATGTCCTTGACCTCCTTGTTGAGACTAGTAAACTTGGTGCTAAACCACCCTCCACTCCTATTGATCCCAATCATAAGCTTTCTACTATAGATGGTGAATTTTTATCTGATAGGGAAGTGTTTCAGAGTGATTGAGAAGTTGTTATATCTCTACATGACTCGACCGGACATTTCCTATGCAATGAGTGCTATTAGTCAATTTATGCATTCTCGCAGAGATACTCATTTAGCTGCTACAAAAAGAGTTTTGTGTTACTTGAAAGGTACTCCAGAGAAAGGCATTCTATTTGCCAAACATGAACACATGAAACTAGAAGCATACACTAATGCTGATTGGGCAGGTTGTATTGATGATAGGTGATCCACCTCGGGTTATTGTGCTTTGGTGGCAAGGAACATTGTTTCATGGAGGAGTAAGAAATAGTCTATAGTTGCCAAATGATGTTCTAATGTGAAGCCAATGATGTTCTAATGTGACAGCCACGCAGCTATCAACATGGCACATAATCTTGTTCGACGTGATAGAACTAAGCACATTGAGGTTGATAGACATTTTATACGGGAAAGAGTTTCCTCGGGAGAAGTTTGCTTGCCATTCATCGCCTCAGAAAAACAGTTGACTGATATTTTGACCAAGGGAGTTCCAAGAGGGAAGCTGACACACTATATAAGCAAGTTGGGCATGATTGACATCTATGCTCAGCTTGAGGGGGAGTATAGTGAGACTAGGCCGAATGGGCCCTAGTATCTTTTCTTGTAATATGTTATTTATTTATTTGTTAGCTTATGGGCCTATCTTTAGGGGCCTGTTATTTCTTTTTTGTAAGTTCTCTTTATGTTACTGCCAAGCTGGCCGCCCACTTAAGGGCATACTTGTAATTAACCTAATGCTTGAAGTTTAACAAAAGGATTAGAGAAGGAAGGGAAGAGACATTTCGAACTCTTCTTCTTCCTTTGTGTTGTTGTTCTCTACTTTTCTTCTTCTTTCTTCGCTAATTTTTACCAAGTTTATATCAGTTTTAGAGTACTGATTCACATCTTACCTGATATAAGCATATTAGATGGGATATTCATTCTCAGTTCTAGGACCATAGGAAATTGAGAGTTGTATCCTATTTCCAATACTTGTGTCCATTTCAGTATCTCTATTTAAGCATCATAAGTCAAACTTTAGAAGACTGAAAATAGGATCTACGCATTCCACAAGAGCAATTTAATTTTTACCTTATGTTTAATAAACATTATGTTTTATAAATAATGGAGTAATTGTTGAAAAAACTACCAAACATAGATAAAAATATAATATTTATAATAATTGCATTGAGTTATTAAGAATCATAATTCATTAGCAAATTTTATACTAAGGACTAGAGGTACTTTAGTCAGGTATGACAATTTGAAAAATTAAAGAATTTCATGAAGTGTCAAGTTTGTAACCAATGTATTTGACATGAGTAAAGGCCACATTTCCATTTCATAGATTACGAAAACAGAAGCATGCAACAACCTTCTCTAAGGTTCAAACAGTAAGAGGAAGGTGACAATCAGTTGTTTATCACAAATAGCATAAGAATAGAATATACAACTATGCAAATAAAGAATAATATAGAAAGAACATATTGGCCAAGAAAAACAAATAAGAAAACAATTGAGAGCCCAATTAGACAAGCAGCATAGAGGAACAAAAAACAGATCAAAATCAGCAATGTAATTTGGACATAGATTGTTTTCATTTAAAATTCTTTTATGAAAAGCTACTAGTTAGATAGTGTCTTAACATGGAATGGCTGAAGAAGGATTTTAGGGTCACTTGGCAGCATAGGTATACTTCAAGACAGATTAAACAGCTGGCTAGAGAGTTAGATGCGACCTGAAGTTGAATTTTTTTTATAAATAAGTGAAAATTTTATTAAGGAAGCATCAATAAACATGAGATAGTACATGCAACCCAAGGAAAGGTACAAGATGCACCCCCAAAGGTAATAGCAATGTTTCTGAATCTATTGGGGGCGAACCAGCGAATGATGTAATTTAATTGTACAAGGATTAGGTCACTGAGGCTAGCCTAATCTATGTAGTTATCATTGTACATGTTTTCAATTTTAATGAGCATACTTAACAGTTACCACTAAAAGAATCCTAAGTTCTATCAACTTCTTCATTACACAAATCATGGTCAAAATATGACTGCAATAATCACATTGGATCAAGTTGAAATGCATGCATTCACATTGTGCAAATACATAAATATTAATTGTTTCGTTAGGTAATTTACCTTTGAGTGTTTGTGCTTTATAAATTCTTCCTTGTTATTTTAGGTTCTTAGTTTTTCCGATTGAAGGCATCAAAATTCATATATTAAAGCATTGCAAATCTTATAACCTTTTGCAGCAGGACTTATTCATATCTTGCAAGGATCAAAAGGATGCATGTACACACAACTCCATGCCATTAGTTTCTAAACTTATGGCATGCAGTGTTGCTGTTCACTATTAATAATCACCTAAACCATACTAAAAGGTTTCTCCCCAAATGTAACAACTTTAATTTCTTAATTTCAGATTATTTTCTCTATTTCTTTTAACATAACCTAACCCAATAGTTCAGGCTAGTTTCTCAAGACAGTACCTTAAACTGTGTCATCCCTACTACATCATGTTCAAGTAAGACTGATTAAAGAGAACAAACACAAAAGTACCTGCACACACAATCCTCAGAACACATAGTACTGCAATTTGTGCATCCCATATCAGCATCTGCATCATCACGCTTCTTCTTAATTAGGTAGACATCTTTTTACAGTCAAGGATAGTACCACGGTAGAACCATTCAGTCCAAAAGACAAGAAATGAAAACACACTTATTGAAGGTAAAAAGCCTCAGAAACAACAGAATTGAAAAGTTGTAATAGGCTCCAATATCTGTTTTGATGATTGCACATATAGGATACTACGCCTGATGTGAACATATGGAGTTGGCTCCATTTTATTCTCCATTAAATCCTTCCAAATAGTATCAATTTTGAATTCCTCCTCGACATATGGTAGGGGTAAGCGAGAGAAAATTTCCTAAAGAGATTAAAGAATAATGTTAGCAAGTAGTAGAATGCTACAACTCAAAATAATATGTGCAGTGACTATAATAATTGGGATTGATTATGCTTTATAACATTCATTCTACATGCGCAAGAGTCATAATATCTAACCATTTAACAGGAAAAAGGGAAAAAAGGTAAGTAAACCGGTAATATTTCTTTTATATATTTTTAATTAGTAGGAAGGACAAAAAACGTTCCAAATGTTCCATAGCATGAGGACCATTTGTGTTAAACATTAATTCCAACAGAATCTTGAAAGCTCTGACCTCTATATCATTCGTTGGAACTGCATGCTGCTCATCCATCAAGATACATCAGCCCTGTCAGCCAGCCTAATCAATGAAAAATAAGAATAAAGTACCAAAGCCCTATGAAAAGCTAAATAGAAGCATTACAAGAAGAACATTTTATCAACCTTTGTAGAAACAGTTTAGCTTTCTTATACTTTCAAGTATTAAAGATTTTATGTCCTAACTTGTGCCTAGAAAATATTGTTTTTGGTATTAAACAGGTGACTGGGAAACATGAAAGTTTCCATATGCACATAAATTATGGATAAACACCGCCACATGTCTACCCCAAGAAAATGATAAATATACCAAAACAGGATCTGTAATATAACTCAAAAAAAAGAATTTGTAGAACATATTAGTGTCAAAATATGTTATTAAGATTTGGGGTTTAAGTTTCTGGTGGAGCAATCAAAATCTTGATACCCCCAGGATTTTGCAAGACCACATTTTAAAATCCAGATTTTAGAACTTAAAGTTTAACACAATCACATGAGATGGGAATGTCTGGGTGCCATAGCCACTCAAGTAACAAGACTAACCATAAGAATAAAGATAATTGCACCCCCGGTGACTTTAGACTTCTATTGGATTCACTGATATATACCATATAGGATTCCATTTGCTCCTCATTCTCAATGTGTTCAACAGAAATCAAGCACCTTGGCTACCTTTTTTTCTCTTTTATAGAACCAACCAAGCCCAAGATAGATGATGCTCCAGATAGAGCTCCTCACCAAGAACCTTGGCTACCTTTTTTTCTCTTTTATAGAAACTATAAAAATAAAATAATAATAATAATATCCAAGAAATGAGATTGAAAGGAGATCAGCCTGCATATAGGGTTTATGTATTCATTATGTTTTATTTTATTTCCTTTTTCTGTTTGGTGAGTCTTTTTATTGCAATAGGATGTAGATAAACTTTCTTGTTATTTGCCCAATAATAAGGGGCATTTGTGTAATTTTACATATTTTTGCTCTATTCAATAAAATATGCTCTTTGGGGGTGGGGGCATTCAATTCAATACATCCCCCAACTTCTCTCTTCTTATTTGTTCAACACCATAAACCCTAGAAGGGTGACATGGACCACATGGTATCAAACTGGTGTGGGGTCTTTTGTTCACGGGTTACTGTAGCATATTATAGCCAGGGGTCTTTTGTTATTTCCGTTTTCTATGAGGGTCATTTTGTAATTTTGATAGCTTATATTTTGTTTTCTTTTGTTGTTAGTTTGTGGCTTGGGCTGCAAGTTTCTTTCATGTGGCTTACTAGGCAAGCCAGTTAGTTATTAGCCTATATAAAGAAAAGAGGCAGATCTGTAAAGGGACTTTTGGCTTATTTTCATTCAATATTATCAAATTGAAAGGCTTGTTACAGCCCTTTCAACCTGTTCCTTCTTCTGATCATCTTCACTCTCTAAATTGATCTCTCCCCCTACTCTCCATACAACAGTTTGGTATCAGAGCAAACTGATCTATTGACATGATTGCAAGAGGAACAGCTAGTCGCGGAGGCAGAGGACAGCAAAAGCACAGCAAGTTGAGATTTTAGAGATGCAACATATGATCAAACAGTTGTCACACCAAGTGCAAGCACTGCAAAGGCGGTGACATGCAAAGGCCCAAATGGAGGTACCGGAGGGCAACCATGAGACTGCTGGTGTACCGGAAGGTGACCAGGAGGAATATGAAGGGTCTGATTATGAAGAGGATATTAATCCTTTTCATAATCTTCAAGGGAGAGATGAACCAGATTGTGGAAGTTTAAAGGAAAGACTGGTGGAAGAGAGTTGAGGAAGTCCGCTTTTGTCAAAGAAAAGCAAAGATCAGATCGTGGAAGACATGAAGAGAAAGATGCAAAAACAATCCCTGCTTACAGATTTAAGGGACATGTACTACCAGTTCCATGACTTGAAACAAAGGGATCGTAGTGGAAAGGACTATTCTAATGAATTCAATAACTTGTTGGTGCGTATTGGTCTCCAAGAAACTAATGATCAACGTACTGCCCATTATTTATCAGGCCTGAATCTCTCGATTCAAGATGAGATTGGGGTGGTGTGGTTCACAAATCTGGAGGATGCCAAACAGCATGCCCTTTGGGCTGAAGCTAGAGTCAGAAGGTTAGGGTCAATGAAGCTCCAGCTGTATGAACAGATGCAGATTCAAATCAGAGGTCTTATGGGGCTGCTAGGAACCAATGTTTTAAAACGCGGAGATGTGACGCAAGGCATTCCACTAGGCATGAGGCATAGTTCAGAACCTAAGAGGTGTAAGCCTCCAAGCCTCCCAAACACAAGGAGTAAGCCTCCTATAGAGGGGGACGAGGAGGAAGGAGAATCTCATTTTTCTTTATTTTTAATAAAAATATTTTATATTAAGAAAATAAAGATGCATAGCACTAGATAAACTTTCTGTTTGGTAGGTCTTTCTTTTACATGTGGGGAAAGGGGGCACACCTCTTATGCATGTCCACAGCAAAGAGTTAATCTTGTTGAAGGAGAAGATGAAAAACAACTTGTGGAGCCTGTGTATGATGACTATGAAGATGAAGAGGAAGGAGTGGATGCATTTCCTTCCCTAAGAGTGAAGAAGAGGAGGATTGGTGTCGTCAAAGCATATTCCGTACATGTGTCGCTAATGGCAGAGGATGTGCAATCTGATCTTGGATGGAGGGAGCAGTGAAAATATCATCTCCAATGATGCTGTAGAAAAGCTAAAACTGTCTACAGAGAAATATTCACAACCTTACAAGGTTGCTTGGTTCAAAGAGAGTATAGAGTTTCCCAATTCCCATTACTTCACATCGCCCTGTAAGATTTACTTTTGGTGATAAATATGATGATGAAGCATGGTGTGATGTGGCTCCTATGGATGTTTGTCATATACTTTTGGGAATATGATCACAAAATGGTGCATCTTATGGATGGCAATACTTACACCTACCAGAAGGATGGGAAGATCACTTTGCATCCTATAAAGAGGAAGCTACAAATCCTCCAAGGACAGAAAGGTTGCAGATTACCTTTCAGCCCATAAATTTGAGGAGGAACGCAAGAAGTCGGGTGAGTCAAATGCCATGGCGGCGTGGCTGATGTTTTGAGCCGAAGATCTGTTCTGTTGTCAAGTTTGAAGGCATAAATAGTTGGATTTGAAGAATTGAGGACACAATACAGCAATGACCCTTTTTCAGCCACATATTGAAGGAATTGGAAGACCAACCAGCAGGAAGGATTCTTCATTTTTTATGGTTGAAGGTTATTTATTTAAAGGAAATCAACTATGCAATCCCAAAGGGTCACCACAGGAACAAATCATAAGATAATTGCATGGAGGAGGGTTAGGAGGTCATTTCGGTATAGATAAGGCTATGGCTATGATGGCTGATCACTATTTCTGGCCTCATATGTACCGAGACGTGGACAGGTTAGTGAGGCATTGCACAGCTTGTCAATTGGTTAAGAGGCAATCACAAAATACAGGTCTGTACATGCCATTACCAGTGCCAGAATCACCATGGGTGCATCTAGGCACAGATGTTAGGATTACCAAAGATAGCAAGGGAACATGACTCGTATTTTGTTGTGGTTGATCAATTTTCAAAGATGGCACACTTTATCCCATGTTCTAAGACAACCATAGCAACTCATGTAGCTGATTTGTTCTTCAAAGAAGTTGTGTGATTGCATGGGGTGCCAACATCAATAGTTTCCGACCATAATGTGAAGTTTGTTGGTCATTTTGGAGATCACTTTGGAGGCATTAGGGAACCCAATTGAAATATTCCAGCACATGCCATCCCCAAACTGATGGGCAAATAGAGGTAGTTAACAGAAGTTTGGGTAATATGCAAAGGAGTATTTTGGGAGAACATGTGAAGATATGGGATCAGCTCTTCCACCAAACTGAGTTTGCTTTATAATAACTCAGCTAATTGCACCATTAAGATGACACTGTTTGAGGCTGCCTATGGATATAAACCACAACATGTTTTGGATCGTGTTCAATTACCACAGGGGCTTGGGTGAGTGAAGATGGTGAGGCTTTTGCTGAACACATAAAGAAGATTCACATGCAGGTGTGTGAATCCTAAAGCATAGCAATGAGCTCTATAAAGAAGCTGCTGACTCTCATAAGTGCTTAAAGGACTTCCAAGAGGGGAATATGGTATTGGTGTATCTAAGAAAAGAAAGATTTCCAAGGGGCAAATACAGAAAATTGAATTCGAAGAAGTTTGGGCCATGCAAAATACTGAAGAAGATAAGCAATAATGCCTATGTTATAGACCTACTATGGCTTTCTCATCCTCCTGACTACTATGGCTTTCTTCCCACCATAGTTTTTGCTCTGTTCTTCTTCAGGGCTACATATATTTCCAAAAATTATCGAGAAGCCGTCTCTGTTCCTTGTTTGAAGGAAGCCATGGATACTGAGATGTGTGCCTTGATTGAAAATGACACATGGGAGATGGTAACTCTTCCTCCAAATGCTACAGCTATTGGTAGTAAATTGGTATTCTCCGTTAAGCTAAAATCGGATGGCAGCATTGATAGATATAAAGCTTGTCTTGTGGACCAAGGTTACTCACAAGAGTAAGGAGTTGATTATGAGGAAACCTTTGCTACAATTGTCAAAATGACAATTGTCCATCTAATTCTTGCATTAACTACTCTCAGTCACTGGTCTAGTTTTCAAATGGATGTTACCAATTCATTTCTTCATGGTAATCTCAAAGAAATTGTTTACATGAAACCACCACTTGGGTATTATTATAATCAACTTAGTTTGTTGCCTCAAGAAGTCTCTCTATGGCTTAAAGCAAGTTCCCTGTGCCTAGTTTGAATGCTTTCATCATGCTTTTATAGAAGCCAATTATCATTAGAGTGACTATGATTCATCTTCTTATGGTGACCGGAGCCTTACCATTTTGCTTGTTCATGTGGATGACATTCTTATCACAAGTGATAATATTGAAGGGATTAGCAACTCAAATTATTTCTCCAAGTCTCCTTCAAGATGAAAATCTTGTTACTATGACTTATTTTTGGGTTTAGAGGTGCGCTCATCTACAAGAGGCCACTTTTTGAACCCAAGAAAATATCCTATAGACCTAATTCAGCTAGTTCACCACACTTACTCCGAGCAGGTTGATACTTCTATGGAACTCAATGTGAAACTATCTCGTGATGAAGAACCTTTTCAAGATCCTACACTATATTGTAGACTGGTTGGGACTCTTATTTATCTCACCGTGACTCGTTCAAGCATAACCATGGTTCAAAGTATCGGAAAAGGTAATTTTAAGAGACGTATCGAGATACGCTTTGGAAACGCATAGATACGGACGAAAAATCATGATACACATGGATACACTAGAAAATCCAAAAAAAAAAAAACCTTAAAAATATGAACAACAATAAAAATGAGTTTTATGTGATTATAACTAATTTATTTTAACATAAAAACCATTCTTTAATAATTTATATAAAGTATCGGGATATAATTAGTAACTGTTGAAAAATAATAGAAGAACTAAAATGTATGTGTGTGTATATATACTAATATTTATTAGTTAATATTTTTTTAATAAATAAATATAATTTATTAGTAAATATTTATTATATATAGATTTAGATAATATTTATTGTGTATACAAGTTAATATATACCTTAATTTTTAATAAATATATATAATTTGTATTCATCTTATTAATATTAATAATCAAATTTTAGCATTTATTGGGAAACATCCACCAAGGAAAGAAAGATTAGTTGAGTATAAAAAAACATGTTGTTTTAATAAGCGATTAAGGTTGGTATAATGGTTAATTAATTATTGTTGTAAGCAAATGACTTGGGTTTGAAAATTGTTACCTTTGGTTTGTGATTTTTAACAAGTTATTTGATTTAAATAACATTTAATGACATATTAAATGTCGTAATTAAAGGTAGCTTAAATGACCATTTAATTAAATAATATTAGCATTTAGTGACGTCTCAAACTTTAAGGCTTAATTAAAATTGATATTAATGAGAGAGAGAAGAGATAAATTAAATTTAAATTTAAAAAGGAGAGGGAAATTAAACTCGGCTGATACATAATGAGTATCGGCCCGTTTCGGGTTGTATCGGCCGATACATACCCGAAATGGTCTGATACGAGGCTGATACGATCTATATCGGTCCGATACGAACGAAAAAATACGAAACCATCTAATTATATATGTTTCGCATATCGGAACTCTTCCGAAACGATACGTATTCAGCCGATACGATGCAAAATTTAAAACCTTGGACATAACACATTTTGTTCAAGTGGTTGGTCAATTTGTATCTACTCCTAGGCATCCCCATCTCATTGTGGTTCATAGGATTATTCAGTATCCTTGTGGTTCTCTTGACCACGGGTTGTTCTTCCCTTCTTCATCTTCTATCCATCTTCGTGTATACTCTAGTGCTAATTGGGCAAGATGTCCAGACACACATCGATCTACACCTAGGTGGTGCTTTTTTCTTGGTGATTCTCTTATCTCATGGAAATGCAAATAGGCTATTGTATCAAAATCCTCTATTGAAGCTTAATATCAAGCTATGTCTATTAGTGGTAAGATAGTTTGGTTGAGAGGTCTTTTGGCAAGAGCTTCAATTTCCTCTCACTACTCCTACTCCATTATATGTTGATAATATGAGTGTCATTCGCATTGCTTCCAACTCAGTCTTTCATGAGTGCACCAAACATATTGAGGCTGATTGTCCTTTCATTCGTGATCAGTTTATAGTAGGGATAACCACACTTCCACATATCTCTTCTGAGCTGCAACTTGATAATATCTTCACCTATGACTTGTGCACTTCATGAATTCCTTGTGGGCAAACTGATTTTGTCCCCACATTAGTTTGAGGGGGTGTATAGGGTCGTATGTGTTCACTATATTTTATTTTATTCCTTTTTTTGTTTGGTGGGCATTTTTTATATTGTAATAGGATGTATATAAACTTTCTTGTTATTTACCCACTAATAAGGGGGATTTATGTAATTGTATATATTTCTTCCCTATTCAATAAACCATGCTTTTGGGGTGGGGGAATTCTATTTGATACACCCTCTGACTTCTATATCTTCTTCTTTGTTGAACACCACAAACCCTAGAGGGTGACACACCCTTCCCCTGTCAAACAATTTGGAAGGTGTGTGTATGTTTAAAACACACTCATCTTTATTACATAGCACTCTCTACTTATGAAACAAATCAATTAATAGAGTTGCAAAAGTGGGGGAACAATTGGAAAAAATGAAAAATGGAACTTCCTGAGTTTAGGATGAATGCTATTGGACCAAAAGGGTATGTTGCAGGAGCTAGCCCATTGAAAGATGAATTAGAGTTTGGTCCCAATGTATTTGTAGCAATAAGCCCTTAAATCTGGACTTAAATTGATAATCTAGCAGATTATGGGAAGGATGGCATTAACTTTGACTGAAGTGTCAACCATCGTTTTGTTCTAGTTTGTTCATTTTCATCTACATTGAGTTATAACAGGTGTTGGGCATCTGGCTTTTCACCTAGAGTTGTTTGGATATGAGAAAAAATCAACCCATAGCCTTGTTAGACTTTAGATTATATTCCCCCTTTTTATTTTTTTTTATCAGTGTTATATTCCCCCTTTTTATTGGTTGTAAGGAACTGAATTACAAGTAGGTGAGAAGGGTTAAGGAGGTGAATGTATATGCTGTTATCTCCAATTGTCAAGTAGGTAACATACGTGATTACATGATATGCAGAAAATCAGGGGACAAAAAACAAGTGATTAGAAGGTTCAAATACAAGGTGACAAATAAAAGGTATAACCAAGAGGCAACAAGCAAGTGACAAATAGTTAATGGAAGTTACTTGCTTACAAGGGAATTTCTTAGTCCAAGTCTATATATACTTGTGTACCATGTTCTTTTGAAGGAAATATAGTGAAACCCTAGTGTCATTCGAGAAATTCCTTCTTCCCCTAGGAGAGATTCCTAGAACCCTAGTGTCATTCGAGATTTTCTTTATTCTTGTTAGTTGTGCTGACTAGAATATCACTAGAGTGATTCCAGTAGATCTACCCTCTCTTTAACCCCCAAAATCAGCATATCCCCATTTCCCTTAAAGGTCATGTCTTGCATCATCATTGTATCTTTATTTCAGGAATAATAAAAAAAACAAAATAACCTAGTAAATGGCTAAAGATGTCTTCAAACCCAACAGTTGGATCAATACAGAATGTCACATGTGGCAAGCTCAGTGATCTTGAACCTATCTCTACAGTTCTTCAACAATTGGACCAGTAGACTAGAGACACTAAGAGGGTGTATAAAAACACAGGTACCCTGTCTAAATGAGTTCTAAGAAAAGTTAACCTGACTTTTGATCAAGGAACCAAAATAAGCCATCTCCCCCACCCAAGGTTGAAAATTTCAATACGAGACACCCATATCAGAAACATCATATCGTATCTTTCGAATCCTTATGCGCTTATTTTCAGGGAGTTGTGAGAAATTTTGATTATTAATAATTAATATATATATAAAATAATACAATTCTGTGAAATTTTCAAAAAAAAAAAAAACTAAAAAAAAAGGTAAAAGCAGAAGGACCAAGGTATCCATACACCCCTTCCACCATATCAGAGTGTATAAATATTTTGAACCACCCCCACCATTTGGAGTTTATGGGGCACAGTTGCCTGAATTCGGTAAGCTAGCCAACTTAGGTCTTACTGGTTTCCTGTTCTTCTCATGATTTCACATGGAACACATTTTACAACCTAAGTCCTAAAACGTTGTTTTCTATTATTATGATCAGTCTTTAGAAAAGCATATTCTTAGAAATAGTTTAGGTAGAAAGAATTTTGGGGGTTTATAGAGAGGTTTGAGTACTTAAATGTAGTGTTATTTGTGGCAAAGTGAATAAAAATCATAATAGAGGTTTCTTATTTAAAACTAAATTTTCATGCTTGCTTCCATTAAAGTATACATTCAGTTTATTTTGGCTCTTTTCTTTGCTTACAACTTTTTTATTTGGTTTATGTTGTTATTTTAGTGTAGTTGGCAAGAACCAATCTACTTGACCTACAAATATTCATAAACTTTATAAAATGAAAAAAAAAAATGATACACTACACCACAATATCAGCTTTAAGTTTCAACTGCGAAAGTGTCAATATGAATTATGAAGTACTTTATGTATGTTTTGATATTTCACTTCAAAAAGCAAAATAATTCACGAGATAAATAAAATAATACTAAAATATAGCTATTAAAAGATAAAGCCAAGCAACCTAGAATTATCCCCAAGTAATTTACATTATAACTATTACCACCAAAATGACTGTCTAATAAGAAAATGATTCAACAATAAAATAATAGAGCCAGAAGATGAAGTTACCAAGTATTGGAATCACAGACTTACCTTCAGTTTCATGGAGAGGATTAAAGGCATTTTTTTAACTCCAACACATAAAAGGTATATTATCTATGGCATGACTAAAGTCTATAACCAAAACCAACTCCAGTAATTGTAAAAAGACAAACAGGATAAGAGGAAGGAACATTTCTGATGAAGGAAAGAAGAGATTGACCTTCTTTTCAAGCTTCCAATTAGTTGAATGCCTCCAACAAACAGCTCGCCTTTGTTGATTTGTTAGACAGATGACGTCTTCCGGCCAAGGTGCACACTTAGTATGTGATGCAATTGTGCATCGCACACAGCACCAATGACCTTTTTGTTTGCATACGAAGCAAGCCTGCCCATGGAAACATGTTGCACATATAAGACTAAAATCTCCGACAAACAATCCACACAGACAGAATAGAAACCAGGATGCATAAAAAACCATAAATATAATTCTGTTATATACGTAACCAACAATTCCAAATTATAAGCACCATAAGTTAACAGATTTTGAACAAGAGCAAATCAGTTGCAAATCAAAACACTTGACAAAAGCACCTTATGTAGTTTATACATTCAAACCCCAAATAATTTGCAAAGATCAGTATGAATTTCATCCAATCAGATATGATTTATGAATGCAGGTTTCCAACTACCTTACCCTAAGCATGGAATTTGAGATACAAACAGATAGGATCAAATCAGATAACCTAGACCCATATCTGATTCATTAATATTCGGATTTGGATCATATCTTATCCTTCACATTTATATCAGATACAGTCAATAGAATTAATAAAATGAACTAAATTGACCTTCCTGCTGCATATCATTTTTTTGGTAATAAAACAAAATTTATTAAAATGAAAAAAAAAGAAAGTACAAAGGAGAAGAGTGACCAGAAGTCACTTGAGAGAGGAAAGGAACAGCAAACAACACCTAGACCAGAATCCCAAGCCACAACAACCTCAACAATACCAGCAAAACCCAAAACCCAAGATGAACACCAAAAACAAACCCACAAGAAACAAAAACCCAAGCACCTCAAAACAAACTTGACCTCAAAAGATGCACAAACAAAGCACACATCAGCCCCCCAAGAAAACAAACAAAACCTCAACAAAAAACCCCCAAAGATTGCATTCTTTAAAAAAAAAGAAAAAAAAAACTCTGACCATTAAAAACTTCTTGAGGCTTTTCTGGATTTCAAAATCTTCATGCTGCATATCATTAACAAACGAGTTGAATATAACCTGCACAAAACTTGAACCTTTGACTCTAGTAAAAATGCAAAATCTGAAATAATTTTACTAATAGATACAATATAAATTTTAAGTTCGTATATCAAATTGGATCAGATAGCAGTAGATCCATTTTTGAGACAATTATTCGGATCACTCTTAACCAGATAAAATTCGAACTAGGACTAATGGATACTGTTTGCAGCCCTACATGGAATTGTAATGCAAATCATCACTATCTTCACTTTACAAGTTTTTCTCATATTTAGAAACTGTGCAATTCACTCTTTCAATGATATATTATATAATGTGTTACTTTCAAGTTTGGATGTTCAACAACATTAGAAATAGAATTTAGTAACAAAGGATCATGAAGATGTTAGACAAGTAATAATATTACTTTACAAATCATTATACAAAACATATAGCAACAGTACCCTCTCAGTATAACATGTAATCTCATCTTGTTTCCTACAAACTTGAACCAACATAGAAAAAAAGTTTACATGTTGTGGGCATTTGAAACTTTTTGATGAAGAAAATCCAAGTCTTTCCTTAGCACATTTTAAGTGATAAACTTCTTGGCAACCACGAACAGAGCAGGATAATTCATCCCCTGGGTAGACAACTTTACAGCAGAGACAGCACTCAACCTAAATAGGATTGCAAACAGCATGTAAGCAACTAAGGGCTTCATTCAAAATGCATCAATAGTAACTAAAATATCAACAAAAAATTTAGCTTAAGACAACATGAAGCATTGAAGCAGGGACCCAAAAATGCTTCCTTTCTTTACTATGTCTGACCCTAAGTCAGTATTCACTAAAACTAAAATACCAAAACCAGACCCCATACATGCACACATCTATAGACTATGTACACATCCAGGGGCATATTAAGTACTAGACACATGACAAATTCACTAATTGCCACAATGAAATTTGCAACTTTTGAAAATATTTTTTTTATAAGCAAATAATTTCACTAAAGAAGAATATTAAAGTTAATACAATTGTTGAAGATACAAACACCCTTTAGTAGCATTTTACTAGTTTGCCCAAAAAAGATTTTTCCTGTCAACTCCTTGTTTAGCTAATACATCTGCTACCCCATTTTCAGGCCTTCTCACCCAGCTGAATTGTGAATTCAATAGCTTTGCAATAACATCAATTCCCCTGAAAGCATGTTTATATTTCCAAGGTGCTGCCTTGGGCTGCTTTGCCCAATCGATCACTAATTGTGAATCACCTTCTACCTACAAATCTCTAAGGCCAAGCTGCTATGCTTATCTCAAGCCTTGTAACAATGCCAGGTTTCTGCCTTTATTGAATCTCCCATGCCAAATGGTCCTGAATACAAAACCACCATCGAACCTAGATGGTTTCTGATAACTCCCCCAATACCTGCTCTTTTGGGTTGCCCACAGAGCTACCATCAAAGTTCAGTTTCAGTTTATTTACAGTTGGGGGCGGCTTCCAGTCCATTCTCACCTCTTCAGTGTGTCTATATGATTGAACCACTTCAGACCAAGCACTAATAATATCATTAACCGAATAGACTTTGAACATTTCCAAAGTTTTTACCCAGAGAACAGTTCTCACTGAGATAGCTTCTACAATCTCCTCCTTTGACCTGCTTTTCTCATTGAAAATTCTGTTGTTTCTTTCCTACCAAATTGGCCAAATCAAGGCAGCTTTTACAGTCCACATGATTTTCCCTCTCTTTTCTTTGGGTCTCAGGAAGTTTGGGTTGAAAAGATGGGTGGGGGGGGGGTCCATCTGCAACCAAAGAGAGAACAGAAATATTCCCTAAGACAAACCACAAGAGGACAGGAGATTAATAAATGAGGCAAGGTTTTATCACTAGCCTTACAAAGAACATATGAGGAGAACATACTTTAGATTTCTATCAAGAAAACATACTTTAGAGCTGGCAATAGTTATTGCAAAGGCCTTTGTGGACTACTTTAAATCAATCTATAAAAGGCCAACTATGGAGAAATGGAGGCTGGAGGGTTTGGATCACCCATTGTTAAGGAAGCTGCTTTCTCTATAGACCGCTCTAAGGCCCCGGGCCTAGATGGTTACACTATGGCTCTTTACCAAGATTGTTGGGAGTGGCTAAAAAAGACCTCATGGGAGTTTTTGAGGAGTTCTACTACAGAGGGTGTGTCAATAGGGGAGTAAATGCTACTTTTATTGCTCTGATTCCGAAAAAAGCGGAGGCGTGCCACCCCAAGGACTTTAGGCCAATTAGTTTGGTGACAAGTCAATATAAGATTTTAGCCAAAGTCCTATCCCTCTGCTTGAAAAAGGCCCTCCCATCGACTATCTTGCACTTCCAAGGGGCCTTCATTCAAGAAAGGCAAATTTTAGATCATATACTTATTGCAAATGAGTGTGTGGAGGACTTTAGAAAATCCAGAAAAAATGGGGATTGAGTGTAAATTGGATCTAGAAAAAGCCTATGATTGTGTGGACTGGAAGATTTTGATGATAGTGACGGAGAAATGTGGGTTTGGAAGAGATGGGGCAAATGGATAAAAGGTTGCTTACAATCTTGCCAATTTTCAATTGTGGCAAATGGGGTAGTCAAAGAGTTTTTTGGGGCTCTAAGGGGTACAAGGCAAGGAGACCCACTATCACCTTTTCTCTTCAACTTCATTGCTAAGGTTTTTAGTAGAATGATTTCAAGAGTTGATGAATGAACCAGAAATTACCATAGGCATGCAAAGGGATACCATAAACATTTATCCAAACGAAACTTGAATGCCCAAGTTTCTCAGAGCCCCAAATAGAGTGTTCCATCTCCCCAACCTTAATTCTTGGTATCAAAACTGATTTTGTTCACGATTTAGACTGTCAAGAGCTTCTACTTCACAACTAAAAGAAAAAAGAAAGAAGCCAGCATTGAGTCTCCTCACCTAGAAGTGACTACTCGGCTTCCATTCAGATATTGCCGAGGTCCACACCTCTCCCACATCTGGTTCCAAATTAACAAATCACAAAATTTATTTACCGCCATGGATGGGTTTTAAACTTGATGAGGAGTTTCACAAAAAACCGGGAGCTTTTACGTCCAACAATTACTCGGTTTGCCACTGCTTACTTGACATTGCAAAGCATTTATAAACAGAAGCAACCTCTTCAATCAATGTTTGCTTCTAAAAAGTGGAATGGGAGTCATTGGAGTAAGCATCCTAAGGGTGTCAAGGCAAAACAAACTATAATGTTTGATAGAAGATTTTGGCCTCTGGTGGCATTTTGTGTAAATACCACTTTGCCATTGTTGCAGTGTTGAGAGAAGTTGATTCTGAAGTAAGACCCTCAATGCCTTATTTATATGAAATGATGGATTCTGCAAATGAGCAAATTGCATTTGCTTGTGGTGGGATAAAGAGAAAATATATGCCTATTTGGAATAAGATTGATGAAAGATGGACCCCTCAACTTTACGTCCCTCTTCATGAAGCAGGCTATTATTTAAACCCACAGCTACACTATGAGCCAAATTTTTCGAATGATCGTGAAGTAAGAGAGGGATTATTTGAATGCATGAAAAGGACGATTCCTGATAGGCATGAACGTACCCTAGCAGATTGCCAGTTGGATATGTATGATAAAGCACTAGGAGATTTGGGTTGTGACATGGAAATTGATACGAGGAAGAGGCGATCTCCTGGTAAATGGTTTATTATTTTGATAATTAGTATTCAACTAATGCATAATTCTTTTTTTGGATATTTTAAGGCTTTACTAATGTCTTGTTAAATGATATCACCAGAGTTAACAAAATTTGCTATTCGAGTTTTGAGTCTTACATGTAGTGCTTCCGGTTGTGAAAGAAACCGGAGCACCTTTGAGTAGGTTATTATTTATTTTCTTATTTACTTTTTAGGTTTTTATGTAATAGTTGTGTTTTGTCGATGTTTTTAATAATATATATTTTGTCTTTGTACTAGATACACACAAAAAAGAGAAACAAATTGGAGCAACAAAGGTTAAATGCTTTAGTTTTATGATGTATAATATGAAGTTGAGGGAAAGAAACATGAAGAGGAGGGCAAGTGCAAGTATTGATCCAATTTTGACAAACCATGTGGAGGAGGATGAGTGGATTACTAAAATTGAGGATCCAGTTCTTCCAACTAATCCTTCTTGGGTGGCTAATGACTCTTTGGGCCTTGAAATTGCCGCAATTGAGGTGGTTGAAGATGCAGATACAAATTTAGTAGAGCCAACAGCCCCTATCAACAAAGAAGGATCAAGTGGAAGAAAGTGTTAGGCAATGTATGCCCTTGGCTCCAATCAGATTAATGTACATTATGACATTTATTGTAAATGAATAAAATACATATTTGATTCATGTTATAGTGGTGTGTTTCTGTGTAATACCCTTAAACTGGACACTTATGAGACTCGTGTTAGTTTAGAATATTCACAGCCATTGGATAAGTCTGGGGAGATTTATCTTGCTAAGGCTGACACTGATGTGCCGCCAAGTGTTGGGGTGGCCTGTCTCAGMTGYCRGGGTGAGAYCCAARGYACATGYARTGTAGGTTTACTTGAAACCCTAAACCGGACCAGATTTCCAGTATTGCCCTGGACCTTGGTGATTAGTGGGAAAAACTAGAAAGTTACACTTGACCCCTAGACTCGATTATGATACTGCACTAGGTGTCGGATTGGGCCGTCTTTGATATGCCAATCAGTGAGATCCTTATAGGGGGTCAAAACCTAGGTATATTGGGACAGTCTGAGAATTCATCTGAGTGGGTGATCATAGTAACAAGATCAGCCCCTTTGTCGGACAAAGCTAATGATCGAGGATGCACTCTTTGATGGAAACCAAGACTGCCGATAGCCGATTTCAATCGTTGAAATTTGTTTTGCAAAATATATTTATATACGGATATACATATATATATATATATTACGGTTTCAAAATGTTTGCAAAAGGTTTTAATTCTCGGGATCCATGTGATTAGAGAGTGCAGCATTGTTCCTTGCAGCCAAGGGAGAGGTCCTCTCTTGTCGGGCAGTGTTTGATCATTATGGGCTAAGAGGTTAAGTGTAAAACCATTGAGGGTAATACCTGATGGGCTAATCTTGCATCTGCCCACAGTCCTTGGGATTTTATAAGGTGGTTTGGCCCAGGGACCACTTAGTGTAAGTGTTGGGCCCATTAGGAGCCCATGTGATGGGTTTCAGGGGGTTCACTGTCTTTTCAATGAATTTGGCCAGGCCTTGTAACAGAGGCTGGGTTGAACCCATGTGGCTGATGTGTAGATCAATGTTTGGGTCCCGCGCCATACAAAGAAGCCCAACTGGGCAACAGTTTGGAAGGTTAATGAGCACTTAGACTTATTGGGCCTAAAGCCCATTTCGAACTGGTTTAGTTGGACTAATTAAAGAGAGGGGCGGATCTGGGATTGGATCAGTAGATAGGATAGGGTTTTACCCTATCCACTCAGAGAGTTCAGATCTGAATTTAGATTTGGAAACCTCCTAATGAGATTAGGAGAGAGTTGATCTAATCTGAAGATAAGATAAGGACTTATCCTTATCACTTAAAGAGAGTCCATATTCAAATAAGGATTTGAATCAGGAAACTCCTAATGGGATTAGGAGTTGATCTCTTTAAGTCTATAAAA